TTCGAGGATGTATTGATCATATCTTCACCCTCCGCCAAATGTTAGAACACCGCCATACTTATCAAAAGCCAACAATCGTAGTGTTTCTTGACATCAGGGCTGCCTTCGATTCGTTGGACAGAGCTGTTCTCTGGGATTGTCTATTGAAGAAGAGTGTGCCTGAGATGTTTATTAACATCCTAAAAGCCCTATATACAAACATCTCAGGCAGAGTGAGGGCATACAACCACCTTTCTCCATTGTTCCATTCGAGCAGTGGGGTTAGGCACGGTCGCCCAATCTCACCATTCCTCTTCAACTTTGCCATTGATGACATTCTGGAAACAGCTCTGATGTATGTAAGTAATGGTGGTGTGGATCTGTTGCCTGGAGAAAGACTTCTCGACCTTGAGTATGCGGACGATATTGTGTTACTGTGCGATAATGCCCAAGGCATGCAATCCACACTTAATCAGTTGGCAATCAGTGTCCGTAGGTACGGTATATGCTTTGCACCTTCGAAGTGCAGAGTACTTCTACAAGACTGGCAGGATTCTAATCCCGTACTCACCCTCGATGGTGAGCAGATAGACGTAGTCGAAAAGTTCGTGTATCTGGGTAGCTGCATAAGTGCTGGTGGGGGTGTGAGTGATGAGATCAATGCACGTATAGTGAAAGCCAGAGCGGCTTATGCTAATTTGGGCCACCTTTGGCACCTTCGTGATGTTAGTCTGGCTGTAAAAGATCGGATCTACAACGCGTCGGTGTGAGCAGCTCTGCTCTATGCTTGTGAAACCTGGTCTCTCCGAGTTGAGGATGTTAGACGACTCTCTGTGTTCGATCGTCGTTGTCTCCGAAGGATTGCTGACATTCAGTGGCAACACCATGTTAGTAATGCAGAGGTTCGGCATCGTGTGTACGTGCACAGAGATGATAATTCAATTGGTGTTACCATCTTGAAACATTGACTTCGATGGCTTGGACATGTTCTACGAATGTCGTCCCAGAGAATTCGACATCGTGCATTATTTACCGACTCCGGGACTGGTTGGAAGAAGCGGAGAGGTGGTCAGTGTATGACAAGGTGTCGTGGTATAAAAGAAAGCTGCAAAGGACTGGCTTTTGTTGGTCCTTCACGACTCCCTGGTTGGGGTCTGAGAGATGGTGCTACACAGTGGCTGGAGACGTTATCACATATGGCTCAGAATAGAAGCCAGTGGCGATCCTGCTGTAACCTTCTTTTAATTTCTTCATAAAAAGTGGTTGTGTCTCCCTTACCTGAAAGATTTCTTCCGATTGTGCCTTTCCGTTCCCTCGTTACTACCACACTACCTTACACCAATCTCTTCGTTATTGTTCTCTTTTTCTTTTTGCGCTCCTTAGTTTTTTTTCTATTTCTCTTCGAACTCTCATTGTTTTGTGTGGCGCATATATATTGGCGCTCTCTTGTTCCAATATTCATGTCTTCAAATAAATAAATAAGGAGCGTGAAAAAAAGAACAATAACGAAGAGGTTGGTGTAAGGTAATGTGTTCATAGGCCTTCCTCTTTTCCGCTTCCCTTCAGGATTCCAAGTCAGGGTTTGTCTCGAGATGCAGTTTGATGATTTGAGTAATGTATGTCCTGTCCATTTCCATCGTCTTTTCCTAATTTCTTCTTCAGCTGGAAGCTGATTTGTTCTCTCCCAGAGAAGGCTATTGCTGATGGTATCCGGCCAATGGATGTTGAGTATCTTGCGAAGACAGCTATTTATAAATACTCGTACCTTCTTGATGGTGGTTGTTGTAGTTCTCCAAGTTTCAGCTCCGTACAGTAGAACTGATTGTTTTGACGTTCGTATTGAAGATTGTGACTTTGATATTGGTTGACAGACAGTTGTTTTGAGTTCCATATGTTCTTCAATTGTAGAAATGCGGCCCTCGCTTTGCCGATCCTCGCCTTTACGTCTGCATCTGAACCTCCTTGTTCATCGATGATGCTTCGCAGGTATGTGAAGGATTCTACATCTTCCAGAGTTTCGCCATCAAGAGTGATTGGACTGCTGTTCTCCGTTTTGAATTTGAGGACCTTGGTTTTCTCTTTGTATATGTTGAGGCCTACTGATGCAGAGACTGCTACTACACTGGCTGTCTTTATCTGCATTTGTTCGTGTGTATTGGATACGAGGGCTAGGTCATCTGCGATGTCCAAATCGTCTAATTGGTTCTGAGCTGTCCATTGTATTTCGTATTTTCCCTTAGATGTCGAGGTTTTCATAATCTAGTCAACCATCAGAAGAGGAGAGGGAAGGGAGAGAGTATACAGCCTTGTTTGACTCTGGTCCTTACTTGGAATGCATCTGTCAGCTGCCATCTATGCACGACTTTGCACTGTAGTCCGTCGTATGAGTTCCGGATAATGTTGACAATCTTCTCAGGAACTCCATAGTGTCGAAGTAGTTTCCATAACGTCCTCCTATCAACACTGTCAAATGCTTTTTCATAATCAATGGAGTTGATGTATAGTGATGAGTTCCACTCAACTGATTGTTTGACGATGATCCGTAGTGTTGCAATTTGGTCTGTGCACGACCGATCCTTACGGAATCCAGCTTGTTGACCTCGAAGTTGGGCGTCTACTGCATCTTTCATCCGGTTCAGCAACACTCTGTTGAATATTTTCCTTGGTACTGACAGTAGTGTGATACCTCCGTAGTCCTCACATTTGCTGGTGGAGTGACATCTATAGAAAGGTCTGTTTGTGTTGTCTCGATGTCCGCTGGATTCAATGGAGCTGGTCTGTTCAAGAGTTCCTCAAAGTATTCTACTAATCTGTTCCTCTGTTCTTGAATTTCAGTGATTGGCCTGCCTTCTTTGTCCTTGATCGATCTCTTTGGTTTACTATATCTCCCTACCAGTTTCTTCGTTGTATCATAAAGCGGTTTCATATTTCCTTCTCTTGCAGCCTTTCCCGCGGTCGTTGCTAGTTCTTCCACGTGTTTCTGCTTGTAGGATTTAATACTCTTCTTCACTTGCTTGTTTGCTTCTGTGTACTCAGCTTATGCCTTGACTTTCTCTGCTCGTGTTCGGCTGTCGTTAATTACTGTCTTTCTGTTCTTCCTTTCTTGAACCTTGTCCAGGGTTTCCATAGAGATTCATTCCTTATGATGATGCTTCTTGCGGCCCAGAACCTCCTGACACGTTGAAGTTAGTGCATCTTTAATCCCTTTCCACTTGTCTTTCATAGTATTATTCTCTTCTTCGAGTGGATCTTGTAAGGCGTTGAACCTGTTGTTGAGATCTATATTGAATTCGTTGAATTTGTCAGTATGTCGAAGGAAGACTGTATTGAACCTTTGTAATGCTGTTTGTCCAGTTGTCCATTGCTTCGTTAGCTCAAGTTTCATCTTGGCAATCACCAGATAGATGGTGATCTGAAGCTTTTATGATATTGAATCCGTGAGATTCCTATCGTATAAGTACACTTGGTGCTTCTTCGGACAGCATCAGAGCAACTCCTTTAATGTGTGGAACATTTTCTTCTGCGTGATCGGAGTACAGCAACATCTCTCCTGTACCCGACCTTTGCTGTTCAGCTAGGATACAATGAGTTTCACGGATTCCGAGAACCGTCAAGCTGTATGTTCTCATTTCTGCATCTATTTGACTTGTCTTTCCGGTCTCCCATATTGTTCGGACACTTCATGTATCTATAAGAATTGTTGCTTTTGTTGTTAGAAGTGGTATCGACCTTGTGACTTGCGAAGAAACTTGGTTTTCACTATAAGGAGTAATAATTCTTTCTTCAATTTACATTAACTGTCAATTACTTATTATAAGTTAGTTCAATGTCGTCTCATTTCCTACGTTGAAGTTAGTGCATCTTTGATCCCTTTCCACTTGTCTTTCATAGTATTATTCTCTTCTTCGAGTGGATCTTGTAAGGCGTTGAACCTGTTGTTGAGATTTATATTGAATTCGTTGAATTTGTCAGTATGTCGAAGGAAGACTGTGTTGAACCTTTGTAATGCTGTTTGTCCAGTTGTCCATTGCTTCGTTAGCTCAAGTTTCATCTTGGCAATCACCAGATAGATGGTGATCTGAAGCTACGTCAGTTCCTCTCCTGGTTCTCACGTCTCCCACTGACCTTATGAATTTCTTGCCGATGCAGATGTAATCTATCTGGTTCTCCGTGGTGTAGTCCGGTGCGATCCATGTAGCTTTGTGTGGGAATATTGTGCCGTCTTTAACCAGTATGTTGAATGCACATATATTTGCAGATCTCTCACCATTCTCGTCCATGTCGTCCCATGATATCTTCATATCCGCTGTTGTCTATTCCGATTTTGGCGTTTAGATCTCCCATCACAATGGTGAGGTCCTTTCTTGGGCATTTCTCTATGATTGACTGCAGCCGCTCGTAGAATTGATCTTTAATGTCGTCGTTGCTATCATTCGTGGGTGCAAAACTTTGGATGACATTCATTGTGATTCCCTCGATTTTTGTTTTGAATGATGCTTTGATGATCGTGGATCCGTGAGATTCCCGTTCTATAAGTGCATTTGGTGCTTCTTCGGACAGCATCAGAGCAACTCCTTTAGTGTGTGGAACATTTTCTTCTGCGTCAAGCTCTATTTTCTCATTTCTGCAGCTATTTGACTTGTGTTTCAGGTCTCCCACATTGTCCGGACGTTCCATGTACCTATAAAAATTGTTGCTCTGGTGGTTAGAAGGGGCATCGGCTTTGTGACATCCAAAGAATCTCGGCTTTCACCATAGGGCGTAATAATTCTTCTTTCACCTCCCAGGGCAGAGTTTAGATGACTTTATTTGTTTAATCTGGTTGGCGTTTTTAGCAAGACTTTTTCCTACAGGATGGAGTTCCGACCTCATGTTCAACCCTCCTCCTTTATACGGGCTTGGGACGGACAGTAGTACTGGAAGAGCTACAGGCGCAGTTATATTATATGTATTTAAACTTGCTACATTATTTATCCTATTTTCTTATCTTAATTATCTCTTATCTGTTTAAAAACTTTCAGGGTCGATGAATTGTGGATATAAAATTATTTACCAAGATTTTCTTCCACACAATGAAGTTTAATCAAACATCTGTGGATTCATCTTTGGGTAGTCTTTCTGTATCGTCCGCTGTCGATCGATCATATGACTCGTTCTTGAACAATGTGGATACACAACCGGGTGCATTACTTTCTGAACTTTTGTCAGATTGTACACCACTTGATTGCTTTGTTTCAAGCACTGTACAATCATCCAATAGTCAAGATAATATATCTTTATCACTTTATGGAGTATCATCATCTTCCAATAATAATAGTGATAACATTAATAATAATAGTAGTAATGGTAATAATAACATTACGAATACTATTGATGATATGAATGGAATTTATGGTCCAATAAATCCTAATTCACATGATTGCTATCGAAAAAATTCTACAATTGAATTAAAATCTGGTAATATATATGTTTTATAACCTTTTCAGTTAGTGTATGTTCTTAGTATAACTTCATATTGCATTTATCTCAGTTATATAATTTTTGTAGTATTGTTGTTTCTTATGAAAACTTCTGTTTTATTTCGAATTCGATTACTGCTTTAATTGATATTGTATTTCCTGTTATTCACAGGCTACCATAACATGTCTATCATTAGTTCTCTGTTCCCTGCTCATCCTAAAATGAGAGTTTGGCTTTATAAATGAAATTATTACGTTAGATTTCTGCAATATATTACATTAACTTGTCTAGTAATTCACTGGTACCATTAAAACGATATTCATTCTCTCACTAGGTATGAGTAGTTATCAAAAAGTTGTATTCTCAGCGGAGTACAGCTTTTCTTTTTGTTTTCAAGAGATATTAATACTTGACTGTGTTATCTTGGAAAATTCAATTCTCAACAAACAATTACGGTAACTTGGTTTCATGTCCATGCATCAGTCAGAACTTAAAACTTATAGGTAATTTTTCGGTAATAAGTTTGGATATTTTTAGTCACCAAAAATTACTTTCTCTGTAAGAATATGTTGTCTTGGTTGTTTACTTATGAATTAATATAATTTAAGTGAATATTGGTTAATGTCTTTCCTTCAACTGGTTGTTGTTTTCGTGAATTAAACCTTTGAAAATAAGGGATATTCGTAGGGTGTTAGTATCTGATCATAAATGCCTTCTAAGCATTACTCACATATGTTAGGACCATTACGTTAGCTATTCTGAAGTTGGATGCAGGGGACTAGTAAAAAATGTCGAATTAATTATTGTGATTGTGAATCTTCATCGACTGTGGTGATTGAGACATGTATTACATTTACCCAATCTCCGCCTGCCTGAACACACGATATTTATTGGTGTAGGGTTGGGTTAGACTGGTACAAAGTTATGAGCGGCCTAACCAAAACATATAGTCAATTTATGAAGTCGTTAACCGTTGATCTGAGGCATGTTGATAGATGCAGAATACCTTGTTGGGGTCTGCGTGATTACTGAAACCAATGATCAGAGACTTTAGGTGAATGTCCGGCGCTTTAACCGGATCACAAACCAATGGTGCACATGGGCTCCAGTATCCTGCGGGAACAAATGGCGTATGAACCAATCGTTGGTCACCGGCTACCATGGGATTGCATCTCCTTACGATGCCCCAATGCCTTGTGGGTTAGACCTTTAGGTCAAAGGCTCGGGGAGTGGCCCCCTAAGATAACCACCTGCTTCGGTTTGGGCACCCGGGCAGTATCACAGCCTACACACAAACGATGAACTCTATGTCTATGGCAACTACTTTTCTCGCTCCGAAAAACAATCAGTCGATTCAAATAATTATCATTACTATTATTGTCATTATTAATACTATTATTATTACTATTATTGTCATTATTATTATTATTATTATTATTATTATTATTATTATTATTATTATTATTATTATTTTCCACATTATTCACCCTCTTTTATACTTATACAGCGGCTCGTCTTTGGTGGAAATTCGACTATATCTAAACGTTCTCGAGTCACTGTCCGGTTGAAAATTGTATGTTACCATCGAATATGAGTACTGAAGCAGTTTTTCTGAAACCACGTGCGCCATTCAAACTGGCTGCCTTCAACGTTCGCACACTTATGCAGGTTGGTCAACAGATAGGGCTGGCTATGTCTTTGGAAAGTCTTAATATTGATGTTTGTTGTCTATCCGAGACCCGTATTCAAGACTCTGGCGAAGTATTACAAATTTGCTCTACATCTGTCACTTCAAAAAGCTTGTTTTACGTGCGCTTATCCGGGGACCCTGTGGCATCTTCGTCTGGTCTTGCTGGCGTTGGTGTCGCACTAAGCGCTAGAGCTGAGGCAGCACTAGTCGATTGGATCCCCATTAACAGTCGGTTATGTGCTGTTAGATTAGAAAGTTCTATCAAAGTGAGAAGAAATCGGCGTGAGAAACGATGTCTTTTCGTCATCTCCGCCTATGCCCCGACAGATTGCAGCCCGGATGCAATAAAGGATGAGTTTTACCACCAGTTATCTGTTCTTCTCCAGAAAGTGCGTTCGACAGATATTGTAGTACTAGCCGGAGACTTGAATGCTCAGGTCGGGCGTCTAGGCACAGAAGAGAGTCGTTTAGGTGGCCGATGGGAACTCGTCGGTCGCAGGTCAGATAACGGGGACCGTCTACTGCAACTTTGCACAGACCACAACCTGTTTCTGGCTAGCACTAACTTTCGGCACAGTCATCGCCGATGTGCCACCTGGCGTCCTCCCTCTGCATCCCAAGCCTGGACTCAGATTGGTCACATCGCGATCAGCTACCGCTGGCGTGGTTGTTTAAAAGACTGCCGCTCCTTTTGGAGTACCTACCTGAACTCTGACCATGCCTTGGTCTGCGCCAATCTTGCCTTACTTTTCAGTGGACAACGAAGTGACCGCCAGCAAAGGATTGATATTAGCAAGCTGGCTGCAACTTCTGTTGCAAATAAGTATCGAACCGAGCTAGCCTCTAGGCTAGCTACCATTCCACCGAAAAGTATAGATGAACATTGGTTGCAATTGCATGATGCCATGAAAATGGCGGGAACAGTCAGTTGTGGGTTCGCGAAACGTCCCGCTTATAAGCACTGGGTTTCTGCAGGCTCCTTACAACTCATTGAAGCCCGTCAGTCTGCTCCGGGTGACCGTGAGTTTGACCATAAACGAAGGATGTTACGTACTGAAATTGGGCAAAGTTTGCGTAAGGACCGAGAAGCCTGGTGGTCGGAGCGTGCTAATGAGCTGTAAGCAGCAGCTGCATCTGGTAACTACCGGAAGCTCTCCCAACTCATCCGAGCCACTGGCATCAAGAAGTCTGGTGTGAGTGAAACAATCTGCGAGGATGATGGGATGCCAATCACTAACATCCATCGACGTCTTGGACGATGGGCAGAGTTTTTCGAAGGGCAGTTCAACTAGCCTGCTGCTCCGGCAATACCGATCAAACTGTCCTGCCCTCCATGGCCGCTGACGACTGATCCACCAAATGAGGCGGAAGTCCGCAAGGAACTCCAACTCTTGAAGCGTTACAAATCACCTGGCCCAGATGACTTACCTCCGGCTCTTTTTAAAGATGGTGGTGACTTTTTGACTAAGGAATTGACGACGTTGTTTACAAAGGTTTGGGAACTAGAGAGTGTACCAATGTCATGGAATGAGTCGATAGTTGTCCCTATCTTTAAAAAGGGTTCACGTCGTTCCTGTAACAATTATTAGGGGATAAGTCTACTTCCGATTGCGTCCAAGCTATTGGCTTCCATCATACTTCGTAGGTTGTTCAAAACCCAAGAAAGATTGACTCGCGAGGAGCAGGCTGGGTTTCGTTCTGTTCGAGGATGTATTGATCATATCTTCACCCTCCGCCAAATGTTAGAACACCGCCATACTTATCAAAAGCCAACAATCGTAGTGTTTCTTGACATCAGGGCTGCCTTCGATTCGTTGGACAGAGCTGTTCTCTGGGATTGTCTATTGAAGAAGAGTGTGCCTGAGATGTTTATTAACATCCTAAAAGCCCTATATACAAACATCTCAGGCAGAGTGAGGGCATACAACCACCTTTCTCCATTGTTCCATTCGAGCAGTGGGGTTAGGCACGGTCGCCCAATCTCACCATTCCTCTTCAACTTTGCCATTGATGACATTCTGGAAACAGCTCTGATGTATGTAAGTAATGGTGGTGTGGATCTGTTGCCTGGAGAAAGACTTCTCGACCTTGAGTATGCGGACGATATTGTCTTACTGTGCGATAATGCCCAAACCATGCAATCCACACTTAATCAGTTGGCAATCAGTGTCCGTAGGTACGGTATGTGCTTTGCATCTTCGAAGTGCAGAGTACTTCTACGAGACTGGCAAGATTCTAATCCCGTACTCACCCTCGATGGTGAGCAGATAGACGTAGTCGAAAAGTTCGTGTATCTGGGTAGCTGCATAAGTGCTGGTGGGGGTGTGAGTGATGAGATCAATGCACGTATAGTGAAAGCCAGAGCGGCTTATGCTAATTTGGGCCACCTTTGGCACCTTCGTGATGTTAGTCTGGCTGTAAAAGATCGGATCTACAACGCGTCGGTGTGAGCAGCTCTGCTCTATGCTTGTGAAACCTGGTCTCTCCGAGTTGAGGATGTTAGACGACTCTCTGTGTTCGATCGTCGTTGTCTCCGAAGGATTGCTGACATTCAGTGGCAACACCATGTTAGTAATGCAGAGGTTCGGCATCGTGTGTACGTGCACAGAGATGATAATTCAATTGGTGTTACCATCTTGAAACATTGACTTCGATGGCTTGGACATGTTCTACGAATGTCGTCCCAGAGAATTCGACATCGTGCATTATTTACCGACTCCGGGACTGGTTGGAAGAAGCGGAGAGGTGGTCAGTGTATGACAAGGTGTCGTGGTATAAAAGAAAGCTGCAAAGGACTGGCTTTTGTTGGTCCTTCACGACTCCCTGGTTGGGGTCTGAGAGATGGTGCTACACAGTGGCTGGAGACGTTATCACATATGGCTCAGAATAGAAGCCAGTGGCGATCCTGCTGTAACCTTCTTTTAATTTCTTCATAAAAAGTGGTTGTGTCTCCCTTACCTGAAAGATTTCTTCCGATTGTACCTTTGCGTTCCTTGATTACTAGCACATTACCTCACACCAATCTCTTCGTTATTGTTCTCTCTTTTTTTTTCTTTGTATTCCTCTCGAATTTTCATTGTTTTGTGTGGCGCATATATATTGGCGCTCTCTTGTACCAATATTCATGTGTCCAAATAAATAAATAAATAAGAGACTTTAGGTGACATGCTTCAAAATCGTTCACAATGGCTCAGGTGCTCTCATTCTTTGTCTTCCTTTCGAATTTGACTTTTAAAATTATATTATACACTTTATTCTTGGAATTCATTTTTTATTCTCGAATAATAACATCTAGGTGTCTAATTTTTTACTACTACTGATACTGTTACTAATTCTATTACTCTTAGGTTCGTTTTGATATTATGTAACAACTCGAACCAATTGATATAAGTTCTAGGCTCTAGGTTGCTTATGACTAACTTAGTAATGATATCCATTCATTCAAATAGCGAAATAGCATGTCAACAACTTGTAAATAAATCAACAATCTGAAACGACCAACACTCAGTTTACTTTAAGAAATGTTTTACTGCAAGCGAATAATACTGAATTTAAAAAATCCTTGATAAAGAACCTTCTAATCAATTTAGTTATCATTTTATTGTAGTGTATTTCATAAAATATAGAAAAAGGTCAATTCGTGCTTAGATCATTAAGTTTTAACATTTTATGTATATATTCTACACATTTTTAAACAAACCACTCGTAAGTTGTCTTTAATTCTCTTTTTTTTTTCTTGACCTTAATTGTATTATGGTTGTAATAATAATGTCTAGTTTTTCTCTAGTCTCGTCTCATTTTATAGGTCATCGTCTGTTTTATTTCATTCATTGTGCTGTTAACTTCTCACAAATTTCATATTGTGTTGGTAGTAGTATGGTATTAATAATAATAATAAAAAAATAATAATCATTATGATAAAGTAACCGTAACATGCGTCATATATGTTTGTCTTATTTTGTCAAAGGTTAACACACAAACATTAACCGGTCAAGGTTATTTACTATTACAAAAAAGTCTTTTTTATATATGTATATGTTCTATTCTCGTTTCTGTTTTCATCATCATTAAAATTGACTACTATTCAACTAGAAATAAATAATCAACAATGTCCAGTTTTAATTGATTTATATTCAAATTTTCATCGTGAAAAATGTATGAATTTATTATTGATTTTTACAAAAATCAAGTATGGTGTAAATAATTTCAGTTCCTAATAACCTTATTTTAATAGTGCGTTAAAAACAAAATAGTTAAGTAGGTGATGAGAAGCTATCATGAAACTGTTTCACGCATATATAATTCCTAAGTAATTGAGTTGAGTTGATTTGCTATTCATGGATCATGGATCAAAGAAGTACATTGTGTTGTACGTAAAATTTGTGTAGTGTGTCTATGTGTCGTTGTTGAAATGAAAGCTTATTTCGTCGAACTACTTTATAGTATCCATTGGATTACTCAGCTAAAATATTCGTCTTTTGCTCATCAGGCACTGGACATTATGAAGAATACAAATGCAGTGCAGCATTATTTATTTCAATGCCAGTTGCCTCCAACATCTTTGAACTAAATGCATTGTTTAGTTATTAATTGTACCACTCAGCCACATAAAGCTTGGTTGTTGGATGCCGTTCCGATCCATGAATCATTGGTTTAAAGCCAAGAGGCTGCACTACAAACTAACAGCTTCCAATGAAAAACGATTAAATATGCTTCAAACATCTATTGTTATATAGTTTTTTAAGGTTCCAAAATATATAAGTAATATTCATCACAAATCACTTAGTGAGTATAATACCATCTGTTCACTGAACTGGAATTCAGCGGTCCATCTTTTTGACTTCAGTCAATAATGTATTATAATATGCTGAGCGTCTGTGCAACTCCGATTACGGAAATGGTTATTTTTTTTACAATACTGAAGGAATTTGTATTTGTAATTATTTTGGTCACTTTTAGTTAACCTGCAGCTCAATATTTCGATTATTCAGTTTTGTGATCATTATTTTAGTGATTGGAAGAGTTGGTTTTCAACTGTTAGATTACATGCTCAAATTTCACTCCAAGTATTTCGTTTTAATCAAAACTCCTCAAAAATAAAGTGTGACTTAGAACAAAGTAGATAAACATTCAGACAGAATGATTCGATGATGAACTTCTTTGACACTGGTTTCAAACTTTGATGAAATGCTAATTTCCTCACAGTACCAAATACTCTATGTTAAGGAGTGCTAAAATGTATGAGGTCTTGATTTAGTTTTCTGTTATTTATTTCCAGGTATCTAACATTTGTAAACTCACAAATGACATGAAATTAAAAGTGTTAGGATTTTTGTTTACCTTGACATTCGCCATTAGTTATTAGCTGGTTAGTAGTGTAAAGGCTTATCGTGGTTCACTTTGCAACAGGTATTAAGAAAATATTAATAAAACTATGGTCCATATTAACAACACTCTTAAAGATCAAAAAGTATCCTAACTATGTTGTGTAGTGTTAATCTTTTATGCCTTTTAAATCAACCATTGTGGTTTCACAAAATTAACTGATTCGTCATCATGACACACTCACATCGTATGCCTTCCTAATGAACCTAGTATTTACTTCATTATTGAGCCGTAACTTATTAGCTTGAACAACACTCAACTTTCTCAGGTTTTGGTTGCGTTTCGTTTCATATATACAAAATAGTATCGATATCCTAAATACAGTATAGCATAATTTACAGCTCGTGTAATGAATTCAGACATAATTACTAAATTAAGTTTCCTGTAAATTTGTTGTGTGGATTGGATAACTGCGTTTAAAATATTTTTCAATATATTTTCAAACATGTGACAGCTGACACTTTCCTTTATGCTTTTCAGATCCAGATATATCATCTAAATTTATTCAAGAACAGTCCAAAGATAGTGGTGTGCTGCCAGTGATGTCGAAACTTGATAATTCTATTAGAGGTAATGTATAACACTTTTGTTCGCAGTAATTTTATAGATCATTCCTGTTAGTAAATAAATGAGTGAATTTCCCTGATTAGTTAAATTAGTATAGAGGGTTTTATCAAGACTAGAATTTTCAAGTGGAGTTTTGTTCTCTGAGCTGGATGAATTGGTCGTAGAGCTTTCAATGTTCTTCCGAACAACATGGTCGGCACAAACGTTAAGCAGAAGTAAAGTGTTCGAATTTCTCCACATATGACTCACAGTTTGTCCTGTCGACTTCAATCTTGATTGGTTATTATGGACCATTAACCCGTCATTGTCTACTTTACTTTGATTGTATGTCCCATGATTTTTCTGATTGGCTGATAGGTCGGATCGATTTCAATGTGTTTGTCGATTGCTGATTGAATTGAGTGCCAAGCTTCTAGAAATTCCTTGGTGTTTTTAGTGTTCCCTCTATTTAGCATCTCAACATTTTCCAGTCGAATGTATGTCCACAATTGTCCATATAAATTTATATGAAAAGGGATGTGTCATAGCGTAATCCCATCTGACTGGTCTCAATCACTGATTGTGCCAGTCTATAAGAAAGGACAAAAGTCCTCTTGTGACAATCACAGAGGAATCAGTTTGACTAATATAGTATCTAAAATATTAGCTTCAATAATACTTCGACGCCTAATCAAAGCTCGTGAAGAGCAGATTAGAGAAAACCAGGCCGGTTTTCGACCTGGACGTGGTTGTATAGATCAGATATTCACACTACGTCAGGTTCTAGAACACAGACACACATTCAGACGCCCCACAATGGTAGTATTTCTCGACCTTAAAGCAGAATTCGACCCTGTCGATCGTGAGGTTCTATGGCAGTGTTTGTCACTGAAAGGAGTACCAAAGAAGTACATTAACCTTATGAAGGCTCTCTACTCGAACACAACTGGTAGAGTGAGAGCTTATGGCGAACTGTCATCAGAATTGATTACCTCAAGTGGTGTTCGTCAGGGCCGTCCACTCTCCCCATTCTTGTTCAACTTTGTCATTGACGTACTTTTAGAGATAACACTCTCCTCATCTAAATTTCCAGGGGTTGAACTTCTACCGGGAGGTTCACTTGTTGACTTAGAATATGCTGATGACATGGTTTTATTTGGCGAAGAAGCTGACAAAATGCAGTCTTCTGACCACTCTAAGCAACGATGCAAGCATGTTCGGGATGCGATTCTCTCCCTCGAAATGCAAAATGTTGCTTCAGGATTGGGTTGCATTGACACCCGAACTAATGATAGGGAGTGAAGTAGTTGAGTGTGTCGACCGCTTCACTTATCTGGGAAGTCTCATCAGCCCTTGTAGTCTGGTGTGTGACGAAATCTCATCACGGATACAGAAGGCTCGACTAGCTTTTGCCAACTTGAATTATTTATGGCGTAGGCAAGATATCCGTCTATCAACCAAAAGAAATACAAATAAAGAGGCAACGAAAATACGTAAGTAATAAAATGTTGAATGTTTCCAAAAATACAGGATGGATACTCCGTCATATAATGATAGATTTCAAACTAAGTCAACTGATAATCCTAATCGCTGGAATAAAAGGTTTTGTAAACAATAACTGAAGAGTTTATACTTATTCAATATGGCTTGAACAAACCAGATGCCAGCTGACGAAATTAGGGAAATATGCTGGAGTTAGACATGACACACATTGCGAAAACCATTGATCTCCATCACAAGGTAAGGCATAACTTTTCGGAGCCAGATGGAATGAGTTTCCGAGCATCTATCAGTGCGGTAGATGCTGCTGAGATCCAGTGTTTCTCCCTTACATTGTGGTTTACTGTACTGGCAGATATCACTGCTGTTTCCATAGCTTTTCGGATATCATTCCATGCTGCATCGGGGTGGGCATCACATACATGGCTGCCTAACTGTTTTCCTAGTTGTTCCTGAAATATACTCTTAGCTTGACTACCATTAAGTAGGCCCCTAAGAGGTTTCCTTGCAGCGTCTTTCTTACGTTCAGTGAGTCCTAGACAAATACGCGCTCGCACTAGAGCATGATCTGAATCTAAGCATGTGCTCCAGAATGAGCGATAGTCTTCTATCGAGCCCTAGCCCCTCCATCGGTGGCTGATAGCGATGTGATCTGTTTGTCATTTTGATGATCACCAGAAACAGACAACTCGATACTAGAGCTGGCCGTCGATTCTTTTTAGTGATATAATTCATTTTCCAGGTACAGATTCGTGTGCTTGACTTAGAGGCACAATCTAAACGTGAAGGCTATTGATACCATTCGGTTGGTGGGGCATTTTTCAAACTTGTGGTTTGGTGGATGAAGGTTCATCCACCTAATCAATCACTCATCGTTTTAATAATGTATGAGCTGCACCATCGATCATCCAGTCTTTACTTTATATTTTTACAAAAGTTCCCATTACTAGTTTAATGTTCTACCTGTATAACACTTCTTGTATGGGTAATTTCCAGTACAGTTTGTGTTATAGATCGCCGTTATCACTTTAAGAATTGATTGATTGGAAATTAGGCAATTTTACTTTAATAAACGGAATACACCCATTATGACATTAAATAAGAAAGAAAGATTAGTTCAGCGAAGAGTTCTCTTTTCGGCGAATTCATTTTCAAAGCTGTACAATCGCAAATATATATACTTATTTTTACAGAGTGATACTAATACTGATAATAAACTTCTGTTATACATGGTGACAGTGAGGTTAAATAAACAAAGGTATTAAAAAAAGTTTTTAAAACAAGGAAAGTTTAATAGTTAATGGCTTAAGTATTCATCGGGTAAGGATGGCTCAGCATGATAAAATAACACAAAATGTTGAAACGGAGATGAAATGTAATCGGAATGACCGTGGAAATAAAAACAAACCGGTTGGGGATAGAAGATTTTAAGTGAAGATGGAAGGTGAAGCAGGTGGCTGTAAAGGAACAAGAGTATGAAGAAAGAGAAAAAAATTTTTAATACATTTAATCCATTTAAATATCGATTCGTCCAATAAACACTGTCTTAATCAGATATTAAAAGAAACAAATTCTTATAAATCAAATCCAAATTGACCGTTAGTTTTTGTTCAGTTCATATGTGATTATCTATCTAATACTGAACTATTTTCAACATTAAATAAATCAATGCCATATTCGTCCTTTTGACCGTAACACTGCCTTAAAATTTTAAAAATATTTAATAAAATCCAAAACAAAGGGATTTGTCAATTGATTGGAGAACTCAGTATTATATGTATGTACGGTGTTGTTTTTGTTTACATTTAACGAAATCTTTATTCAATTGATTATATATATATAAACTGACTATTGACCAATAGGAGTTGCTTTGAATGGTCATATTCTCTATTGAATCAGTTGGCCATCCTATATATATATCTATATTTGTAAGTAATGATTATCGGTCTGATCTAGGAATTGTTGATGATAAGAGAAATAACGAGCGGTTAGATTATTATTTTACTCAATGTTTATCCAACTAGAAATAGCTCGTTAGAAAAGTTTTTGTAGATTAATTAAAAAAATATTTATCACAGAAAGTAGAAAATTTTTGTTATTGAGTATGAGCATTTATTTATAGTTGGAAAATATTAATTATTAAGATCTATCATTTAATAATTTAACACTTGCGTATTCTCATGCGTTCGGTATTGAACGAAAGAGACATTTATACGAAATGTTACCTAACTTTCACTGTTTTCTTTTTTCATTTGTTTTTTCTGAGCATGTTACAAAACCTGTTTTTTAAAACAATTCATTTACTAACTGCGCTTATGTACGTAAGAAGGTAGAGCCCAATAAAGGTGTCCGTTGATCCAAGTTGTTATATCACGTCAACACGACAAAATAAATTACAAAAAATGGAAATAATATAGTAGCAATGATCACATAGTTATTCGGTCATACGCGACGTAAAATATGAGACATGTACTCATTGCTTCAAGTTACCACACCCCGTTAACATAAAAAGATAGGTTTGTTAAAATCAATCCTAGAGTAGTAGAGGCAGTAAAAGTATTGGTGGTAATAGTGGAGATCAGGCGTAGAAAATAAAATTCAAACAGAAAATGTGGATCTGTGAAATGAAAGAAAAATTTTTATTAGGTGAATTAAGAATTCAAGATTTAAGAGATGACAAAGAGTAAATGCACATGCTCTATTTCTAACGATTTTGAACTTTGTCACCCAGTTTCCAACCATCGGTTACAATAATCACCCATACCCCAACTAGGTAGTTTGCATCTATCAACATGGCTCAGACCAATAGGCAATGAATTAACGGGGTGATTCCATGTTTTGCTATGGGTACCTCTAGTTTTCTTCCAACCACCTTCTCAACCAGCGGACATCATCTATCAAGGTAGACGTTGTTTACATATATATAACAAATGTCCTGACCACCTTAGTCAATGAAGATTTACAAGCTCATCAGCTGATCTGCCATATTTAGTTTATAAACCGAGTCTAACCTCCACATTACTCACTTGGTCGTTTCACAAAGTGTGAGTAATGTTTCGATTGGTCTGAATAACCATTTAGTTTGCATTCACCTCTTAACAATAAGTACAATTCATACAGTCAGTATTCATAGGATATTGTAATCAGGTATGTTTTTTCATATTTGTAGAATTTCTTAGATTTAGGCATTGCAAGTTTTGATAATTAACTTGTCAATTATGACACTGCAAGCTTTTGACTTAAAGACTATCTATCTGGTGCAACACCATATGATGTATTCTAATAGTAACCGGTAACAAGAGTAATTCCATTCGTACTTTCTGGCTACTTGGGTGAACATGGATCTTTTATTTAAGACCAGAATTTTCCAGTTTGAACTCTTAGTCTTAAAATCAGGTTTAATCATGTGTCATTCGCTTTTATCTTCTCGCTCCTTTACGAAATGGCCCTTACATCTAAATAAAGTCAATTGATTTTCTTCGACAGGTGCTATAAAGGAAATAAAACCATAGCTGTACTTCTTG